ATATATATATATATGACAGGTCTTCTAGTGTGGTTAAATCTATCCAAATTGTTCCCAGTCCCAGGAAGTATGCTTTGTTCTTTATGGGCTCCAGAGTGTATTTCCCTGTTGAGTGTCTCTTTTCCTAGCTCTTGCTATCAGGTTAGAAGGTATATTCACAGTCCAGCAGGACTTACCTGCTGTCATTTGTGTTTGACTGGGCAGGAGTTATGACTGTAGCTTATACAGAAGTCTTGCAAGATGGTCCCATTTCTTTCCTGACTGCTGTGGATTCATCTTTCTAGCAGGCTAACTGCCTTATGTTTCCACTGAGTTCTTCCTGACTCCAGCTTCCTGCCCCAGCATGCTGTTAAGAACCAAAATATCATGACCTTTAAAAATTCACATCTTTCTCTTACTTGGTATAAAAAAAAAGTCTAGATGAGCAGGAGGCACAAAACCCAGCAAGATTTCTAAAGTCTGGGGGAAAGGAATAACACATAAAATGATGTTGAAGCTTAGTCTATTACCAGAACTTTAGTTTCTCCATGGGAACTGTTCTTTAACAAGAACAAAATAAATAATTCCCCCTTTTTATTTCTAACACCCAACCAATGTGAGACAGGATCCCAGCATCCGTACCTATAGACTCCAATAATCCATCTCACTGAACACCAGGCTACAGGACTGCTATGTGAGGTCCCACCAACATCTGTGCAGCCAGAATAGGTGCAAAGCAGATTAGCATCCAGCACCAGGTACCAGCTCAACACTGGGAAGTAGTAAAGAGCCAGTTAATTGCCAATTCATTCTCTCTGGCCAAGGTCGTGCTTAGAGGCAATTGAAGGGTATATGCTATTGGCATGCCTTCCAAGCTCAGAGAAGCAAAATCCTTGAAGGGACTAAAGTCCAGTGACAGCACAAGGCTGGAAGGCACCAAGAGACACAAGAAATACCAAGAGCAAGTGGCCATTAGGCCAGCTGCTGGGTGCTCCAGAGAACAGGTTTACAGGTGGCATCAGAGAGGGAACCAACTACCAATGGTGGTAAGATGGTTGGGAGGAAGGAAAAGCCAAAGGCAAAGATTTCACCACAAGGTGATGAAAATCCTTAAGCTGAAGACAGGATTAGGGGAGAAGAGTCTAGAAGACTGTGATAGAGGGATGGAACACCAGATCTACAGTTAGGAGTTTTAGGGTTCATCCTGTGTTTAGTTCTGTAGGATGACTTCATATACACAGACAAAAGAAGATGATAATGAGGGAAAATAAAGAGGAAAAAGGTGGATAGTGTATGCTTATGTATATACAGCTGAGGTACCTAAAGCCTGTGAACTTGTATACATAGAACTTGGCAACCAGAAGCCTGACCTGATGAGTCCAGTTCTGTCACTTTATGGTGGTCATCAGAACTCAGAGTATGTCTTAGAGACTGGCTATCAGGGTCCAAGTCTCAAGTGTGTATCTTGATTTTTATTATATAAGATGATACTGGCCCTTCTCTCACAGGATTCTATGAAGAATAAATGAATGCAAAGGCCTTTTGGATGGGTCGGCAGAGAATAGGAGCTACCTTAGCATGCAATAGTTAGTTATAGTTATGAAGTTGTAGTTATGAAGTTCCTAGGCCTTGTGGCCTTGGGCAAACCAATTCTAATTTCTCCACCTTAAATCCACCTCTGCTGACTCTACAGGGTTCTAGGGAATACTCAGTGATATGTAAAGGTATTCAGTAACAAGACTATGCTAGGCAAATGTTAGATGTTGTGGTAGTGAAGACTCAGACACAGATCCCTGATAATTATTCTGAGTTCCCTTCTCAAGTTTTAACTTTGACATCTCTGCTTTCTTCTTGGCCTGAATAAAGAAAGTTCAAAGGAGAAAAAGTAACAGTCAGCCAAGATCTTAAGGACAGATATGCCAAGCATGCAGCTACTACCCAAGTGTTGTCCAGGGAGAGTGGGACGACAGCCTGGAAGGGCCGGACACTGCTTCCTGAAACCCAAGAGGAACAGCAGTTGGAGGTCATGCCAACCATCCATGGCATTCTCACTGAGGGTTACCAGGCTCTGTACCACACTGTGGTAGAGTCCATGCTGTGAGATCCTTCTGGAAGCCCCAAGAGGTACAGCTTAGAGCTAGGCAACGCCATTAAACAAAAGCTCTGCGGAGCTTTGCAGTCAGCTGTCACAAGGAGTGCATGGAGGGGCCTGAAGCTGGGATGGAATATGGCTGCTGCCACCAAGAAATGGCCCAAGCTAGGATAAAAAATAATTGGAACTCATAGAATTGGAGTCTTCTCTGCAGTATGTCTGAAAAATAAACTGTACCTTTCACTTAATCTCGGAATGCTTTACAAACTAGTGACTACCCTCCCAGGGAAAAGAGACAAAGTCCCAGTCTTTTTTTTTTTTTTTTTAAGGAGGGGTGGGGAGACAGGATCTCTCTACATAGACCTGGCTGTCCTAGAACTCACTATGTAGACCAAGCTGAACTTGAACTCAGGGATCCACCTGCCTTTGCCTCCCATGCACTAGTATTAAAGGGGTGAGCCACCATGCCTGGCTAGTTTTCTGGGGACAGCATAGGGCAGGGGAAGGGAGGTGTGGGGGATTGAACCTAGAGCCTTGATTGATGGCAGGTGTCCAGGCTCCAGAACATCTTTTTTTTTTTTTTTTTTTTTGAGACAGGGTTTCATTACATTGTACATTACATTGTAGCTTTGGATGCACTCTGTAGTCCAGGATGGCCTGAAAGTTGTGGTCTCCCTGCTTCAGGTTCTTGCCACACACTGTTACTCAAGGATATAACCCACAGATTCCAGCCAATTCTCTGATGACTGGAAATAGCCCATAACCTGGAATCTGTTAATAGGAGCAGAAGGTCACAGGCATCTCTGAGTAAGATGGAACTTAGAGCACTGGCCCAGGCTCTAGATTTCAGGAGCCACAGCAATGACCACATGTAACACATACTTCATAAAATTGTATTTTTTTTACAGTCATTTGTACAATTTGTTACAAAACCATAAAAGACTACAACTTGCTTTAAATCATTTTTGGTCTGCAAATATGTAAAATCTGTGTGCAATTATTATGTATTTACAGGGCCTTGTTAGTCATTTTCAATGATTATTTCAACAATGTCACACTCTCAACATAAGACATGGCTTAAGATAAATATATTAGTAAATAAATATTCTGAGAACATATTTCCATAAATGAAATGTGCTGCTATACATATACAGAATATACATAAGTTGTTTTCTAGCTTTAAAAACAGTTTTTAAAATGGTAATGTTGAAAAAGAGCCCTTAGACCATTTTATCACAAAAAAAAATCTTTACAAAATATTAAGTGCTATGGGAGAAATAAAAAAAATTAAAATAGTGTCTTGTTAGACCAACACAATATGTAAGTTTATGTAAGAAATAGAAAAAAGCAGATCAGTTTAAAAGATGATACTTTCAAATTCTTTTACAGACCACATTTTAAAAGCATTAGTCCTGTGTGAACTTTGAGACCAGAAGCACACAGGGGAAGGGCCTGAACCACAAGACCAAAGATAGAACCTAATGAAATGGTCTGGGCCTAGAGGAGGGGATGGATGGTCAGCTTTGGAGCTATGATCACAGAGGCACCTCATGGTATAGAATGACTACACTTCCATTTTCATCTGATTCTAGATTTTGAGTTGACATGGCTGTTTTACACCCAGGGCTGGTATCAAGCCCACACTTGCTACCACACACTCAGATGTTGTAGAAGCTCCCAGGAGAGAACGGTTGTCCGTGGTTGGACAATCACCACATACTACTGACATTCCTATTCCACCATTTCCTCCCCAAAAGAGGGAACAGACAGTACTGGGAGTCTCAGAACTTCAAAGACATTATTATTTCTTTTGACTTAAATGGTGACATTAAGATAGAAGGTTTTATTCTGGTCTGATGTGGCTACACAAAGATGGTAATTGTTTCTATATCTTCCTTTTGTTTCTACTGGCCCAAAACTACAACAATTACACGTGCCTGTCACCCACCCATAACACTTTTTCAAGGGACTTGTTTATTTGACTCAGACTAGTGGCATTCAAATTCTCTCTTGTCTCTGAGTACTAAGAAGTGGTTTTCTAGCCAGGCAGGATAAAGGCAAGTCTTTCTGGGGTCTGTTTTCAACAATGGAGAAATATGCACATACAGACACTAAAAACAAAAGCAAAACCAGAAAAACAAACATCTCAACAATGAGAAGCTGCGCTTTGCAGTTCATGTTAAAAGCTGAACCCCTATTCCCCCTGCACAATAAGGCAAGCTGCTGTTCTTAGCAGCTGCTACTCCTGGCCCCAGAAATAAAGGCAGCCCCGATCACATGTCAACACTTTAGGCCCTTCTCACACCCTCAGCAACAGGTGCACTGAGCATAGCCCAGGGGAGGAGCCTCAAGGGACTGACCCCCAGTATTGGGCATAAGACCAAATTTCACCATGGCCACTTCCCAAAGGGCAAATAACTGGATCATCTGATGTGAGATGTCTTTTGTTAGATTCTGGATAGAAATAAGAAAATGTCCTCATCTTAGGATGGGGTTTTATAGAATAAAGTATTCTGATCATCTCAAAATGTGCAGTCTGGACCCTGGGATGACTTCCTAGGAGCCTGACTAGAAGAAGGGACATTTCTGTCTCTGGCAACCCAGGTGGTCCCCATTCTGTAACTGAGCTTTCAGACCCACTGGGCCAAACTCTTCCCAATGGCAAAAGGTACCTGCTAAGTGAATGACTAAGAGCTAGCGAACACAGGGCCAAGCCGATTAGTTTCCTCTAAGGAAAAGAAAATACTTTTAAGAACAAGGACTATTTTGAATAAAAAGGATTACAATCCCTGAATTGATTTTTAAATAGATTCTCTCTCCCTTTTAAAAATAAACAAAACATCTTAAAAACAATAACAACAAAAACAACCAAAAGTGGTTTGGGTTTAAAAAAACTCTCCCCCTTAAAAAAAAGAGGCTAGAAAAAATATACAAGAGCCTACCCTTTGGGTCTGAACTATCTGATACTGTCTCGTGGAGAATCAGTATGTAATAGTGCATAGGCAGACAGGCTAGCAGACATGTGCTGGCAGGGTGAGCCACTGCAGCCACCAGCCAGAGGCCTGCCTCTGGGGATGGGAGACTGGTTCAGTTGGAAGGTAGTACACTACTGTGGTTCAAGCATGTGTCCCCCAGGAAGGCAACCTAAGGGGGCAACAGCTGAGGGGTGTGGCTGCCCCAGACCCATGGGCACAAGTGGGCCCCAGCACACCTTTCAAGGGGTGGTGCACTGCTATTGAGAGGAGAGCTTGTTCCTCTAGTCCCACAGGACACCAAGACCACAAAGCAACATTCCTTCTGGGTGTCCACCCTGCACACCCCATTTAAATCACCCCTGCAATTGATGGCATGAAGCCCAAATGATTTTACAAAAGACTCCAAGACCAGACAGGGTGAGAGCATCTCTTCTCTCGCCCAGTGGTCAGAGTGCAGGAAAGAGACCCTATTAACAGGGCTGGTCACAGTCACAGCCTCTGCTGGGATAAAGACTGCAATCTCTGTTCTTACTTGGGATGATGAACCGAAGGAATAGAAAAGAATGGGCAGAACTGTCCCTAATAAACTGGGCCTAGGCAATAATAGTTTGACACTGCCCCCTTTTCCCCTCTGTTCCACTGCTGCCTACAGGTGTGGGCAGGAGAGGTGTGGCTTCCCAGAAGCCCTGAAGTCTAGATTTGCCTCAAAAAAGGGAAAAAGGACGAGGCAGTTTTGTATTATTCCTTAGAGTTTGTACCCATATTAACTAGCTTTTACTTCAAGTTTCTGGTTCCTTTTCAATAAGGCAGGTGTAACCCTGAGCTTTTCAAAGGCCTGAGGTCCCTCCAGGGAGACGACAGTATCGACACATGATGTGGTTCATTTAATGCAGCAGTGATTTTTTTTTCTTTTTCAACAAAAGTTGGTAGTTAGGGTTCTTTAAAATATATATTTAAATAACTTTTTACATTTACATATAATATCTTAGAAAAAAAAGCAGAGAACTCAATTCCACACACCTCAGAAACCCAAGCACACATTACAAAACAGAACAACACATTATTAAAGAGGCAAAGGACTCAAGAGATTTTGCCTGTTGGTTTGTTAATGGGGAAGGGATGTCACAGGTGGCTCACATTTTGGGTTGAGGAGGGCTCTCTTTATTACCACTTTTGTGTTTGTCAAAGCTAAAATATATGTATGTGTGTGTATACGTATACACACACACATATACATATGTGTATATGTGTGTGTGTGTGTGTGTGTATGTATGTATGTATGTATGTATGTATATTAGTTTTGAAGGAAGCCAAACTTTGAAGTCTCCGTACAGTTCACGATTTCTACATAAGAGTTCCTTCTGAGCTCAAGCTCCCGTACCGATGCCTGGGCCAGATCCTGGTCCTGGGAGAGAGAGGGAGAAGAGTCATCAAGGATGTGTAGAGAGCCAGCACAGCAGGCTTTGAGCAGTATGTATCAGGTGAGGTCCTTGAGCATCCCTATCCTCTGTCTATGGGCCCTTGGAAGTGATAACTCACAACAGTGAGTAGACTACATGTGATAAGGGGTCAGCAATGGCTTGAGGAGCTCAAGTCTACATTGACAACAGTTGTTGGGGGTGGGGAGGGGGGTGAGCAGGTCTCCCTTGATGGCTATACTGAATCTTCTGGAAGCCCTAAGATGTCATGGAAGCATAGGTAGAAATGAAGTTAAGTAAATTCCCAGAGGCACTGAAAGACCAGGGAAGACCCCTCACAGATCACAGATTTTCCCATGAGGTGCCTGGCTTGAGGTGACTTAGGAGATAGCAGGGGGAGTGATCCTGATGGGGAAAGGAAGGCTGTTAAACTGAGATCGGAAGATCTCAAATTGAGACAGAAATGAACCTGACATACTGCAGGAACAGGACAAAGGCTGGATCAAAGGGAGCATCTCCATCCATTAAGCAGATATCTTACACTGGGCAGTGTTAGTGCATGCCTTTAATCCCAGTACTAAGGAGGCAGAAGCAGAGAAATCTCTGAGTTCAAGACTAGCCTGGTCTACACAGAGAAATCCTGTCTCAAAAACAAAACAAAAATGCACAAAAACAGACATCTTATAAAGGTAACTGAAAGTCATTACAGCATTTCTAGTATAAGGACTGTGACTTGGGCCTCCCAAGTGGGACAGCAAACAATTGTAGTGACCTCTGTCAG